GGATGACAGCCGATGTTTAAGGGTCTTCATTTCGTAGTCATGATAAGAAAGAATGACCCCCAGGTATGGGACCTGGTACCGCAGCGATATCAACTTGCCCGAAGGGAGTTCCACAAACTTCTCTCCATCTACCTGGCGAAATAGCTTTTTCCTAATTGTCGAGGCTGAACCTCCTTGTAGCTGCAGCAGTATTGCTGACTTGGACGGATTGACCTTGAACCCAAGTTCAACCAATTGATCCAGAAGAAGGTCGCAGTACCCTAGTGCTGTAATGAGGCCAGACTCAGACTCGAAATGCGACTGAATCAAGCTGTCATCCGCATACATGGTGAGAAGTTTAACTAGTTCGGGGGGGCTGATTTTTCCAGAGAGCTTCCTAAAGAGAAGCCCGGATGCAAAGGCGAATAGGGAAGGTGCAAGCTTGCATCCCTGCTTGATTCCCCTGCGTGTGGCTATCTCAAAGCTCTGATCGCTGGCTGTCATCTTGTACAAGGCTTTGATGTGGAGATGGCCCACCACCTCTATAAGAAGAGGGTCTGCTTGTTCAGCTTCCAGGGCTTCTCTTAATCGTAGCCTGTCCACAGTGTCAAAAGCTTTGCTCATGTCAACGCTCATCGTGAGACTGCCCCTGAGCTTGAGCCCCTGTTGTCCCTTACCAGCCGCTCTAGTTGTAAGGGCCTGCCTGAACCTGGCCTGATCCACATGTGTGAGGGCCTTGCAGATCGCCTCCTCTGTGCCCCTACCTGGTACGAAGCCAAACTGAGAGACTCCTTGCATTGCTTGATGGAGGGTGGACTTGAGTCTCTGCCTCACAAGTCCTGCCAGGACCTTGCCCTCAGGTGCTATCACCCCGATCGGACGGAGTGATGTTGGCTTATCTGGCTTCTTGGGGGGCTTTGGGAGCCAAGAGATCTGTGACGAGGTGACGCTGTCCGAAAGCCTTCCTGCAGTGACTTCCCTATTGAGAGTGTCCGATGAGCCGAATAGCGTTGGGGCCTAGGGAGCGCCAAGCTACTATGGGAGGACTTTCTTTAGGAACTGCTTTGCCAAGCTTTATAGTTCCTAGCTGTTCTTGAACTTCTTGCTCGGTGATGTGCAGGCTGCCTTGTATCCCTGTGAGCGGGAAGTCGTCCCCTGCTCCAAACAGTTCAATGGAGTATTCCTCTAATTGTCTACGTTCTTCCTTGGCTGTTAGGAAGCGACCCTCTGAGTCACGTAGCTGAACTCTTTCCTGAGGCCTCCCCGACCGGAAGCGCTTGATCACCTTGTAGAGGGAATGACTCCCGTCTTGCTTGGATTTAAGCTCTGCCTGCTCGAGTTGTTCATCTATTTCCTGTCGTCGCCTTTCCTGCTTCTGACGCTTTGCTACCCTCGCCTGTGCACTTTGCTGAGACAGCGACAGCCAGCAGCGAAATACCATTCGGACCTGCAACTCCGGCAAGAACTCTGCTAAGACCTTGACTGACATTGGGAGTGAGCGCAACACTGTGCGCTCTGCCCAAATGCTGAGATCTGATCTTTGTGCTGCTCCCTTTCTCTTGGGAAAGTGAGTCGCGAGGGCTGAGTTCATTGCTTGATGGAGACTCTGCCAGGTTTGGGGATGATCCTGAAGGAGGGAGTCTACCTCCCTGGCAAATGCCTGTATTTTCGGGGAACGGTGTCTGTAGCAGTCCTCCATTGCCTGCTGGTCATAGGGTTTTGAGGCTTGGGCGGAGTATCTCCTGCTGTGCCTCAGTTTACCAAGAAGGGGGAAATGCCTACTACCATCCCTCCAGGATGCCACTGGGAAGGTCCTTAGTGGCCGGCAAAACCTGGCAGGGCCTTGGGACTGTGCAATCCTGACAAACGAGAAGTCAATCTGTGAAACAGAGTTGCCTTGTTCGTGGGTGGCTGGTCTATGCACTCCCCAAGTGTTGGTTGCGACTAGCTGGTGCTCCGACAGTAGGGTCTGGAGATCCTTAGATCCGCGATGCCCGAGTCTGCAAGCCTGGATCGTGCATGGCCCTACGTGTTTGTTGTCGGTCTTGAGCGAGGAGTTAAAATCTCCTAGCACAAGGAGAGTGTTGCGATTGGGAACAGCTCGGATGGACTTACTTAGGGCGTGAAGGGTCTGCTTCCGGGTTTCCTTATTCTGAGCGACTGTCTCCTTAGAGCGCCAAACGTATTGATAGCAGCTGAAGACGTCCAGTGAGATGCCGTTGCTCGGCACCCGGACCTGGAGAACTCTTCCTGGAACAACCTCGTTGTAGCGAAGATCCTGTGACTTGCACAGCGTGGAGTGCACCATTATGAGGACCCCGGCTCCCTTCTCCCCTGTGGAACCAGAGCTGATCACGTGCCAACCTGACTTGCTGAATTGCCATGAGCCCCTCCAGTGTGTTTCCTGAATTGCTACCAGCTTCACATCCTGAAATGCGGCACTTTGCAGTACGGAGAGTAACTCTTCCCAAACTGCTGTTGTGAGAGATCCTGCGTTCCAGGATAGATAGCTGAGATTCTTATCTTCTGTAAATTTTGAAGGCCGAGTCCTTCTGCCGGGATTGGTGGGCTTTACATGTGCCGGAGCAACTCCAAGCTCTGTTGACGACATCGTCCTTCCCTTGTAGACCGCACTACCTTCAAGCAGAGCTTTACGTGCTGCCCTTTGATAAGAGCGTTTACCCTTCCCTTTAGGAACGGGCTGATGCTTGGTCGAACCACTAGGCTGTTTCGCAGCACTCATGTTGAGTACGGCTCCTGTCGGCTTCGCAATACCGACAACCCTCACCTCTGGGAGATGTTAGAGAGCTGTAAATCTAATACTCCCTCCCGGACTTGGGACCGGGACTGCTCAGGCGCTGACAAATGCCATGGCAAGAAAGGAAAAAGGCAACTGTACTAGCCTGACCTTTCCTGAGCCGAGAGGCTTACGACAACAACAACAGCAACAACAACAACAAGAACAACAACGGCAACAACGACAGCAGTGACAACAACAACACCAATGCCAACGCCAACCAACGCCAACGCCAACTCCAACACCAACACCACCACCACCAACAACATCACCCAACACAACAGCAACAAAACAAGAAGGTTAATAACAATAACTATAACAAGTAGCAAGAACAACAACACCACCCAGCACCACCAGCACCACCACCAGCAGCAGCAGCAGCAGCAGCAGCAGAAGCACCACCAGCACCACCACCACAATAACAATAGCAAGAACAACAACAATAACAACAACAACAACAACAACAACAACAACAACAACAACAACAACAACAACAACAACAACAACAACAACAACAACAACAACAACAACAACAAGCACAAGCACCAGCAGCAGCAGCAGCAGCAGCAGCAGCAGAAGCAGAAGCAGAAGCACGCACCACCGCCACACCACAACCACAACCAGAAACACAACTGCACCTGCAACCACAACAACCACAACCACAAAGGCCAACCGCCACCACCACCGCCACCACGAAGCACCACTACAACGAACACCACAACAACAACAACCAACAGCGAACAACAACAAGGCAATCATGGCCACAGAACGACCAACAGAGACAATCAGAGCAAAAGAGAGAACAGTGGGAGAAGAGTCAGAATCAAACAAGACAACGGCGACGTTTTTACATATGCGGACATACAAATAGACTAAACAGATACCGCATACTACCTCTGTGAAGGGGGCGGTCGGCCGGCTATTTTTAAAACCATGCGGAGGATGTGTGTGGAGCTGCAGGGCTGATGGGAGGGCCGGTTGAGGGTTGGGGAAAAGGCTGGAGGGTTGCTCCGCCGAGAACAAACAAAACTGGAGTGGGAAGGCCCAGGTCGACACAGCAGAATACGCGGGACTGGAGGGGTGAAGGGCGAGGCCCCAGGCTGGGGCGTCTGAATCTTGCGACGTAGGCTCAAATCCGGAAACAGGGACGGAGGGGTGGAGGGCCGGTGTTTTGGTTGTTGGCTAGAGCCTGTCACCTGTTAGACCTGGGTTGGTCAGTGCAACGGGGTGGGTGTGAGTCTTGGGTCGGCCACGGCCAAAGTCCGGTCAAAGGGCACCTATATTCGCTCAAATCAGGCAGGGGGCAGCGCAGGGCAGGGCAGGGCACCCAAATTTGAATCTTGTCTTGGGCGTGGGCTGGTCTGCTGCCCTGCCCTGCCCTGCCCTGCTTCATTTGCGATTTGCACAGATTAGGGTCTAACTCGCACGGAATTGGTGCCACTCCGAGGCCTGGTCTGTCAGCGCTCCCCCCGAGCAATGGGGCAAATGACAGGCCCGGGGTTCTCGCTTACGGACATTCGGCATGGCCAAATCAAAACTCTAGCCCGCCCCATCTCGCTAGCCAGTCCTGCCCTACCTGTTTTGCGGATTCGAGCGTATTGGCGTCTTCGCAAGATTCAGATTTGGCTGCCAGGCGCGCCCTGCCCGCCCTGCCCGGCCCGACTCCCCGCCTGCCTGCCCTGGGTCCTGCCTTGCGTCCTGCCTGGGTCCTGCCCTGTTTTCGAGCCAATTAGCCTCTAATTCGCCCTGCCCTGCCCCGCCCTGCCCTGCCAGCACAAAATGATTGTGATGTTTACGGAACAGGTGTACTGAATTTTCCATACGGAGAATACAACACAGATACGTCATGCTACCTCTGAGCCGCTGCCGTGTGGCCCGGCCACCACATACTTACAAAACCTGACCGTCAGATCAATGCCAGCTGTGCTACAAGTCGCAAGCATCGCTACATTTCGCACACACACGCACAGCAACAGCATCAACAGCAACCGGCAAAACCAACGTGATCAACAACAGCAATCGCTGTGCTGCCGAGGACGCACAAGAAGGACCAGACCAATACTGTTGACAATCGTGACAACACTAGTGGCAAGAGGGAACTATCAACATGGTCATGGAATGGAACTACAGGGAACAGAATGGTCATGACAGAAATACTGACCGACAGTGACTGACGATGACATGTTCAGCCCCACAGCACAGCACATCATATAAGCCGGCGTGCTCAAAGCGACAACCAGTGGCAGGGTGTCGAGAATCTTCTGCAGCTTAAGCAGGCCTTGGGTGTGGGGTGGCTGCTGACCGACAGCTGTTGTAGGCTTCAAGCTTTTCGGCTTCGCAATGGCTTGTTCCGAGAAGTCGCCCCAAGGCAGTAAGCAAACCGACTCTGGACTTGGGGGCCTGTCTTTCCGTGAAGACTGTCTCCAATTTCCCTTGGGCTTTCAGGGCACGGTGCTTACACTCTTCAGGAGGACACATGATGCACAAGAGCATTGGTCGCGAAACGACATCGGATGCAGGGAATGGGCTCTGACAAAACTTGAGGTCTTAGCAGTTCATACAGCAAAGGAACTTACGAGTTCAACAACATTTCGGCAAGTCGCGCAGAAGCCGAAGGCAGCGAAGGACGCGGTCCACTCGGCCCACACGGATGATGCGAATGATGCCTTCTGTGACCACCATGAAAGTACCGGAAGGCTCGTTGCTGAAGCTTGTCACCAATACAAAACAGTTGAGGTCGCTGCAAGTCGTCAAGACATCGAACTTCAGTGAAGATCGCATGTCTGTTTGCATGTCAGCCAGTTGGCTTGCTCGTCCATGCCAATTGTTAAAGTTTCACGCGCAACTTTGGGAGTGATTTGTGCAAAAACATCTTGCGTGCCGCTTCTCGTATTGAGTTGGCTAACGAGCCGGGCATGACACTTATATCGAAGCTGGCAGGACGAGTAAGAGCAGAGCCTTGCACGACGCTAGTTTTAATTTAGGATCTTCCCTTGCTGGTGCCGAAGCCTAGAAGCCATCGTGATGATCTACTATGCTACCTGCCTTAACCTACCAGAACCATTTGTTGTAAGGTCCCCATGAACTCTGGACGCTAGAATGCAGTATATTTTTGTGGAGAACCTGTTGTAAGGTTAGAACCCTTTACAATAACAGGAAACCAAGGCAACCAAGAAAAGGTACTGCATTGCACTGTCTAGGAATTGTGGTCATGCAAAGATAAGTTTAGTGGCTTACGGTCTTGGCTTCAAGCATTGTGCGAGTTCGGGTGTATATACGGGGCCCGAAGACAATAACTTGCTGCATAGGTGTCATAACTGGCCCTCCAACGGGAGATATCTACCTGTAGCATGGCAGCCATTCGACTTTCAGGGTCTCAGTCGTTGCAGGTTGGAGTTTGCCAAGAGGGTCCATTTGCCCCTACAAAGACAATCCTAATACCAGCTACAAGCTCCTAGATGTTGCGAACTTAGACAACTTCGTTTTGGCTTCATGGGCTGGGGTTAAGGAATGGGGTGGCAATGATATCGCACTAATTGGCGAGTTAACACATCTTTGTCGGCAGATGCTGGTTTGACAAGAACCAGGGAGGATCCACACTCTAGAAGAAGTTGCTCCCGCGTCGATGCCAAAGTGTCGGGGCGAAAGGAGGCGCCGAAGCATACAGGGGGCAGCCGCATGTGGCGGGGGCGCGCGACATCCGGTGTAGGCAGGGCTGCACAAACATCCCGTGAAGGTGGCGGTGCAAGTGCAGCAAGGAATGTGCATCTGGTGCAGGCCGGTGCGTTAGCCTTGGCTTTTCTTTGGAAGGCCCTCTCCGGGACATCGGGTAACGGATTTGTCAGGAACCTCGCTATTCTCTTGAATTTCAAAACGCGTAAGACCACAAGATTTCCAACTCGCGTGCAAGAGGTCAGAGAAGCCTCTCTGTTTCTGTGCGGTTCACTCCATTGACGGTCTCAATTGATTCAGTTCTCAGCTTTCCGTGCTCTCCTCCAGCCCTCAAATCAAACGAAGACCCCTTTTCCCATTCCCAGGACTTGCCAGCAGCGGCCTATGCCAAGCTCGTGTGGGAGGAAGATGGTCGGAATCTCCTGTCTGGCTTCAAGTGGATGGGAGCAGATGTCCTATGTGATGCAGGACAGGCTTTAGGACTTTAGGAAGCTTGGAGCCCTTAGCTCTCTCTGGAACAAGGGGACCCATTGAAGGGTTCAGAGCTAGAGAATTTTAAATGTTCTTTTGGCTTGAAGCTCCGCAGCCAGGATCAGCACGTCGAAGGCCAGCCACGACTTGGCGTAGGCACGGGCGATGCCTATGCGATCCTGGACCAGGACGCCGTCAACCTTGATTGAACCGGCATGCAATGTCGGCGATTCCAAGTTGTTTACGACGGCTAAGCGACATGGGTTCTGCTGAGAGCTGAACTGGGACAACCTATTTAGAGTTACATCTACTTATCGTACCTGATCGAGTCTCAGTCTAACCTACGTCAAAGGCAACTGACCATGTCTATAACGACGGTGGTACATGAAACCCGATGAATGTGGTCAGGTTCAGCTACTGAGCTACTGCGTGCACAACATGCCAGTGTAGATCCCGAACGGTGGAAGACCACAGAGAAGACTGGCGGAAGACCAAACCGGCCAACATCTCGCGACCTCGCCAACTCGCCAAACCGCAGGTAACGGAGTGATTAGGTAGTGGCCTTGCGATTCACCGGACAGACAAGCACCATGCGCCGAACAGCAAGGCACTTGGAGGACTTTACCATTCAAGTGTTGGATACTAGGTTCTACCATGAATTTAGTGTATGCGGACGGTGCAGGCAGGCACGGATTGTGCAGAGTGCAGTTTTCGTAGAAAACATGCACAACCACCCGGTGTGATAGTTTAGCCCCTCCACGAACCACATGTTACCACGCTGTTAGGGGCAATATCGCTAGGCGTGCTTAACGCATGAGTCGTCACAGGTCAAAGTAGCACGATCCCGGGCATGCGAGCCAGCTAGTGGCAAGATAACGATCCGACACTATGAACTGCCATAGAACTTGTACGACATCGATCCGAAACTGTCGAGTCCCGCTTCCTTCTACGCACATCCTGCTACAGGCAGAACTGGAAGAAGGCTTCGTCTGTATACGCTGGCTGCAGTTGCAGCATCAGAAGGAGCCACCGATGAGCTACCGTCGCAAAGGCCAGCTGGAATTGCAGATTCCACATTACCCGCTAACTAGAAACCCGCCTATAGTCTTTGTTAAAGCCTTGTCAAGGCAGATGCTTAGGTGACTGCATCGGGCCTGCTTGTCGTTTTGCGTTCCTGATAGGGCTCAGGGATATGGCAGAGCAAACGGTGAGATTGAGGGTGCAGGCGCGGTCTTCCAAGTCTGGGGATACTGTAGGAACGCCGGAAATGTGGCTCTTCTTTGTCTGTCTGTGTTTTCGATTTTGCTCGGCTTTTCGCGCCAGTCCCATTTTCAGCTTTCGAGTTGGTGTCAAGCACATCTCAGGCTGTTGTACCATCTCCTTGTCGCAACCATGCTGCCTGATCCCGGGTCGTAGCCTCTTCAGTTTCGCTTCGAAATAACTCATCGTGACATCTAAACCACGATGTTGTATGCCGGGTCACATGAATAGCTGTGCAGAAATTCATTCCAATGTCCTGAGTTGCTGCAAATTGAAAACGTACGAGGTTCGGTGGAGTCTTCGTAACATTCATTCCTAGCCACGTCAACAGGCGAGAGTGCCGGTCAGTACATAAGGACATTGTATACTTCCTGTGATGCTCGGGCGATCGCGACTCCTTGGCTACAGGTGTACAGGTTACGTGCACGTGCTCTGCTGTAAGCAACGTCGCACATGATGTGTAGCTGCCAAACTAGTGACTACAAATATATTATAACATTCTATATCCTACACCTTTCAGCGGCTACAATTACACTGCACTCGAATCTCAAAGTGCTACACGTTGAGCCACGGAATCCAGACCCTCATGTAAATGCAGCTAAGACACAGCCAGCCAAAATAAATCGGAGACAGCCCGCCTCAGCCTGACGTGTGGATTGGAAGCAAGGACGGTGGGGAATGCGAGGCCGGGCAAGTGTACGAGGGTCCGGGTGTTTCCCGCTCCTCCGGCGTTGGCTGCAACGAATTAGCTTCATGGGCAGATATGAACAAGGGGTGTGCGTACCTGAATGCCGATTACACCAACGATGATCGCAGGTACCCTACCAAGCCTCCGGAAGTCCAAACCCTGACACATGATCTTGCAACCATAAACACCCAAACGTTCGGGCCTCTGCAAGAGCTGTCCCTGCAATAGGTATTCGGCATCGAAGACCTCGGAGTCGTCTGGGTTGAGGCTTCTGTCTTGTGTCCTTACGGAAGTATATACAGTGTCACGAAGCTTCAGTGCTTGTGGCTCCGAGCTCGCAGGATCGTCTCGGGAATCCAACCCGAGACGATCTGGCGTGCTGTCTTGGGGGTGTCTTGCGTAAGGTTTAGAGTTTAGAGTTTAGGGCCCACGATATCCGGCTTCTGGAGCGACGTCTAAGTTCAAGCGATGACGTTGGTCCGGAGCTGCCTGCAGAGGCGTGAAGATCATGTCTTGCATCAGGACGAGCAAAGCCAAAGCGTCCCAGCACCTCAGATTTTCTGAGAAGACTTACTAGGGATAACCTTCACTCTGCCCTGCATGCAGTTCTACTCAATGTGACCAGCCAGAACCCACCTGAGCTCCAAGCAATCGGATCCAGGACGTTGGCTGCAGAATACATCGTCGCTTATGCACGTCCTCGACGGCAACACAAAGATGATCCGGGAGTCACGATTAATCTGCGGGGCTTCCTGCTAGCTAAAACTTAGACTACTCCACACCATGAGAGTTCCAGGAAATCGGGGACCTTTGAAGAGAAGTGGGACTCCTACAAGCCCTGGTAGTATTGAGAATGAATAAGGCTGTCTGGCAGTACCAGGCAGCAACTACGCTGGAGTAAAGGCATTGGGCTGACAATAGGGCTCAACTCCAAACGCCTGAAGAGAGCAAGGCTTTCAACGTGGCGACTCGAGAAGAGTAACAACGATTGGAACTGCAACCCACAAAAGCACAAACATTATCGACCTCACTGATTCTGCTTTACACGCTACTTGTGGAACGGTCTTGTCCAGGACCCCAGTTTGTAGCCATCGCAGGCTCCCCGACGGCGGGAAACCCACAAGATCACCAACATGTAAGTCTATTGCACAACACATGCTGCTGTCGGAAACATCTTAGTCTTCCCAAGGGCGTTTGATTTTCTGAGTATGTGGCCATCGCAGACCGCTTCGTGCGCGGGAACCCCTCCAAACCATGTATGCTGACCAGCAGTCGCAGCAGAATCATCATTCAAGGTGAACGGTTTTCCAAAAAGTCCAGTGCCGCTTGAATCAGGAATATAGACTTGAATCTGGGATTTGTGCTCCTTATTCGACCTACCAAAATGTGGGATAACTGCGACCGGCTGAGCCAGGGGCCGATTGTGAGCCGCTCCGCCCCCAAATTCCTACTGCTGTAGGAGCCTGGTTGCCTCTAGAATCACATAGGAGGTTGTCTTCCCATCACCGGAGAGTGAGTAGCACCACATTTTGATAACTGAGCTTTGAGGGCCGAGGGTGCGTCCCAGACCCTCCTGAAGTGTTGACACTGCTGGCAATCTTTCGAAGATGGCGTGGCTGGAAAGCCAGCCAACACCAGCTGCGGACTGGAAATCCGCAAGTGCCATACTGGGGGGGGGAGCTGGGGTTCTGAGAGATCAAGCGAATGAAAGACAAGCGAGGCACCCTTGATTTGCTGCTTCAACATCGTTCCTTGCGCCAAGCAGCATTGAGAGATGCAACGTTGGTTACTCGCGTTCCCCTGTCCGACTGTGAAACACTCTCGGTGTGCTTCTTGCTCGCTTTGGACAGCCTCGGCTGTGTGAGGGCATCTAATCTAAGGTGTCCTTAGCTTGTGTCAACTTTGTGCTAGGGTCTGTTGCCTGCGACATCGAGAAACATGATAGCTACACGAATCAACAAGTATGCAAGCATGCATGCACAGATGCGTGCGTTTTCACACAATCATGCATGAATAATCTTGTGCCATGGCCCGTGTAGAACAAGGCCCTTGGCAACAAGCAAACGACTTGCAAATTCTCCGTGCGGCCCACAGACATACGCTCTGACAGTGAGACGAGCTTTGGCTGAACCGGAAAAGCCAGCTGGTCCTGGCAGGATGGGGGGGGGAAGATCAATGCGACGGAGTATGTCCGCTAAGCCAGGAGAAGAAACAGTGGATACCCTCATCAAGCTAGACGTGTGCAGAAGCGAAAATCGTATTGAACTTCAGTGAATGTGTCGAAGCCAAGGAAGGATTGCACAGACAAACCTTGATCCCAGCCGAAAAAAGCTAACCCTAGGTGGTCCTCGTTCGGGTCGGTCTGTGGGAAGGTCCTTATTGTCGCTTCGATCAACAGACCGGGGTTTCTTCCAAATCCTGCACGAGTCATAACAAGTCCTGTGGCAGTACGTACATGCTCCTGCCACCAGATTTGCTCTGATCTGCTCAACCCTAGGCCCTAAAACTACAACCCAGAAGCCCTAAAACCCCAAACCGCGGAACCCCACCCTAGAAAACCCCCTGCATCTCAGCGGATCTGTTCCTCACGTTCTATGTAGGTTCAAGCTTGCAGGGCTAAGGATAATCTCAAAATGAGCTAGCGGGATCAGCATGAGGACACCAGATAATGTCAAACCCCGGTATCATTGCTGGACTCTCTTCTGCATGTTCTGGAATGATGTATTCAAGGCTACGTGTGTTTGGCATCTCCGTCCTGAATAATTATCCTGTGGAGACACTTCACAGCTTTCTGTGAGCTTGGCTGCAAGGTACGACGATGAAGAACCGATGTGTAAAAGCTCCAATGAAGGAATGAGATATGCGGGAGTCACAACATGCTTGGCCTGACTATGCTTCAATCCGGGCTCTACGAATCTGGTCCCTGAGCCAGATGGGCAGGTCAAGGCCACAGTCCCTGAACACTTGTTGCTTGTTGCATCATCTTCAGCTTCTTTAAGGTTTCAGGCATTGTGGCTTCGGACCGGACTCGGATTGGGGCGGAGAACGTTGCATCGCGGAACTTTGCTTTCGCACTGTTTGATACACTGTCTGGCTTTGAAAGCGCTGAAGCTGTGCGATGGAAGGCTCAGTTTGGCTCGAATGCGCCGGGCAGCGATGTTTCTTGGCTTGCGGTCGGGCCAGGCTTCGTGAAGATGATGCTCGACATGCCTGTGCTGCCGGACATGACTCATCTGTTTCCTACCGGCTTGGGTAGAATGGTGGTCCCAGACCTTCACACCCGTCAATTTCAATTTCAAGCTTACAGGCTGCACTCCAGAAGCCAGGCTTCCACCATGCTAGTAGTACTGACTGGCTAATATCCAGGGCTTCACGACTCTTGTACCGTATCTGGCTCGCTGGCTGCATGCTGCATGATCTCGGTGCTTCTGGCTGGCAAAGCTGAGCGATGAGGCACTGCAGACCCATGACTGCACGAACGATGTAGAAAGTGCTCACCAAAATACATCTGCCATCGAACCATCTCTTGGCCGAAATGAAGTTAAGGGACTGCAGGCAACCCGCTGCAAGATTGCTTTTGGCTTTGGATTCACAGCTACGTGAGGACCTGCCGCAACCTGTGCTTTTACACGCCTGCCAATCCGAAGTTCCTAAACCCGACGTGTTTGACATGCGTGCAACTTCTTCAGTTCCTGTGCCGAGCTGCTGTCTTGACCGCAACCGTCCGGTCCTGCCAGTGTTTGACTCGGTCATGTCGAAGGCCCGCAATATGGTAATGGTATTCGGCGTTCTGTCTTCATCCCCACACGAGTTTTATTGCATCATGTGGCCTGCCTTGTCTTGCAATAGAGTAGGAGTGCTGTGCACATGAATGACCCCTCCATTCTTGAAAGCTGGATCACGCATACGTGCTGACATGTAAAGAGCATGGCTGACAAACGAACACCGACAGCACAGTCATCATACGCATCACCATTATTCCAGTCAGGATCGTCGTACCGATGAAAAGTTCATCCTGGTACCTCTGGCTAATGTCGTCCTTCGCTGACCCTCAAGTCTGAAGCCGTAGGCCTTTGTCCAACTTTCCAGCATGATGCAGTGACCGTACCGGCAATGTTCGTCTGGTTGGTGTGTAAGACCGTCATAGTATACCCTTTATGACGGGCAGACAGTGCAGGATTGTGTCCGTCCAGTACTAATTGCAGCTTAACTCAAACATAGTGAAGGACATCGGTTTGCATTGGCCGCGAGAGAGTATCGGGGAACCCCGCAGCACAATCACGCATCACATCGGAAACGGCATGAAACCCTGCTGTCCTCGACACAAACTCGACCAAAGGAAAAAACTGATGGATAAGACCCTGCATCATTCAACTACCAATGTAATGACTCCCACAATTTAGGAGTGTTTAGGGTGTATCAAACAAACCGCACTCATTACTGTGCCGCGGATGCAAAAGACGATTCCGAATCCCCTGCTGTGAACCGTCCTGGGTCTGTCGGTGACTTCCTGATCAGATTTTAGCTTTCCGGTTTCGGTTCGTGCTTGTTCAAACTGGGTTTCTTGCGGAACCCCGATTGGAGATTCCTTCTTGTTTAGGGTGCCAGACCCCCGCCCCCATGTTGGAGAACATCTGGAGTTCAGGATCTTGTTTCATGGAGGGCCTTCGGGCTGCAAGCCCCTGAGCCTTTGACCGCTGGCGTAAGATGCAAGTTACCAAAACCTTATCACGAAACCCGATGTACAGTAAGTTGGGTTTCATAAGACGATTACCGGAATATGCCAAACACAAGCGCTGTTTCGTGTCAGGGCAAGCCATTGCGGCACGAGGCAGTGGGCCTTCAGTGGCAACTGCATCTCTACTTCGGTGCCAACACTCTTCCTGGTTACAATCGCCGCTCCTGGCTCCTGTGACTGTCGCTTCAACATCTTCGTGTGGCTGCTAATATGGCTCTGATTCCAGCAATGTCTGAAGTCTTATTGTCCCTTTCTTGACTTCGCTATGGCTGCTGCCAATAATCGGGACCCAACCCCAATTTCGTGGCCTGTGCATTTGCCCGGCTTTGGACGATACGCGCGGAATTTTGAAGCTCCGCGGCGTGTCGCAATTTGACCTGCAAGCTGGCAACCGAAGGGAAAGACGAGGGAACTACGACAACAGCAGGAGTCTATAAATGCAATAGCAGCCCTAGCAGCAAAGCTGGAGGTGTGGCTTCTTGTTGCTGGTACGCTAACAGCAACTACTACGACAACAACAAAAACTACCACGGCTACAACGACGACGACATCATCATCATCATCATCAACATAAGGAAGCTTCAGCTTCCGTTACACTTTTGCGCTTGGCGCTGGCTTCCAGGTTCGGGCGCAAGTTCAGGTCTCTGAAGGTCCGACGGTTTGGGACCCAAACTCTCCTCTGCGTGCAGCGGTGCTTAGCTTCTAGCCGATTCTAAGATCCTTTACCGGGTGCGGAATGTAGGCCGGGAGGCGATCCAAAGGGCCCTTAGTGCGTTCTTATTCAGCTCCGCTGGGGTAATGGGTTTAGGACGGCATCTCTGCAGCGGCCCATTAAGAGAAAACCAGCACGATGTGTCAACGACATGTCCAGTCGACCACACTTGGAACGTATCTTTTGGCACGGAGCCCTAGTGACATAGCAGGGTACCGGTCACGCATCCCTGAACGGAAGCCGATGCAACCCAGTAACCCGTAATCTAAGTGCTGCATACGAAGTCTCAGAAGCCTCAAATCTCAAGGCTTCGGATTGCTGACAGGAGACCCGCAGGACTTCTGCCCAGTGTCATTTCTGACCTGACTTTCTTTGTCGTGGTTTGTCTGAGGGAGTTTTAGTATCATGGATGTCGGGATATCTGGGTGAAGATTCCTGTAGCTCTGACTTTGTAGTTTGGCCGACATGGTGCTTGCTCAATCCTTGCGGTTTCTGATGTTCGTATCGCCATAAAGTCCTGTGTCCTCCTCTTGCTTATGCAGGGCTTGCTCAGGGAGACAACCTATGAAGTCACTTCCTGCTCCGTTTTGGTAGACCTGTGTCAATATAGGGGTTGCTGGGAAGTGCCTCGGTCATTTTTTTTTCGATTTCCACGGTGGAGGAGACCCAGCTGTAATGTCTTCCCGCATTCAAAAGATGAGGCTACCGATTATGAACGAACTACGCTTTGACGTTCAAACTTAACGACCACTGCCCGGGAGTCCGTCGGAAGACCCAACCACTTGGACACCACAACATGGCTAGTTAGCTTTCGTCCCCTTCGATTTTTCCTGTTATAGCCTCAGTTATAGCTTCAGATTTGACATGTTTTAACCGCAGCGACTCTTCCTATTCTTGCCGTTGTTCTTCTTCTTTGCCTTCCTACCTACTAAATACTTTCTACTCACTACTTACTATGTACTGCTTGCTGCACACGGTTGATTATTGACTACTGGCTGCTTACTACTTACTACAGTCTGCGACGAGGATTACTGCTACTCTTACTGCTGCCCATGCATGCTGCTACCGCTACTGCTACTCCTACTCCTCCTCCTCCTGCTGCTGCGGACATGTTGGGTCCAGAATTTGGTCCTAGTTGCGGCAGTACGCAACAAATCATGAATGAGTTCAATTTTCTTGCTTTTGTTGGTGTGATGTGTGTGATCTTCCGATTCTGGGGCGTTGTTGCGCTGTTCTTCTGGCTGCAGCTCCCAAAGCTTGGCTTCAAGAGTGTAGTCTCTTGAAGTCGGAAGCTCGATCGAATCCAGGATTTCTTCGGAAAGGATCTCAGCTACCAGGTGCTTGGGTCGGGCTACGGGCACGCCAATCTGGTTATCTGTCATCATTTGTTCACTTCGGGCGCTGGTAATTCCAGCAGAGGACCAAGGAACCCATCAGCGTACAGCTACTGTGACAAGTACCTCCGTACCAAAGTCCAAGTCGCTCCGGAAAGCTCATTGATTGAACTCTGAACCGACTTCAACTATCCCTAAAGATATTCTGGCGGTAGTCTCAAGCCTTGATCCTATTCATTAGCTTGATAAACTCTCCACAACACAAGCTCCTTCCCGGAGCAGTATGACCGGCATCCTCTGCTAAGCTTTACGGCACCTTTGATAAGCTCCACGTCCATTTTAAGCTTGGTTCCTCAACCATCATAAACCGCAACACCTGGATCAACAAGCTATCTCTTTCGAATCGACGCCTCGCCACGGCTGGGAACTCGGTTCGGAGTGATCGAGACCTCGGAAGCAGGTCTTGCGGCCACTCGAGGAACAGCTCAAAATCTTCACAGGATTTAAAGTTTAGGTTTTGTAGGAAGTGCCTGTTTCATTTTTGGATTCAGAGTCTTGCGATTTCAAGCTTTCCGGTTTGGATTTTAAATTGGGAGTAGTCGTTTGAATGCCGGTCGTACTGGTTCTTGCTGTAGGTTTTTGGGAGGTGCTGGAGGGACTCTCGAGCAGGTGATGCGGTTACTGCAAGCAGCGCCATCTGAGTCAAACCTGGAAGGGAGCACACGGAGCGTATTGTAACTTGCAAATATTCTAGTGCAGAGTGTCTAAAAGTACCCGAGCCCTGGAAATCTCGAACACCTAGGTCCCAACCGATCAGCACGGGCTTGGAACCCCGCAGAGGCAACTTCGAGCTCGTAGGCTGTAACCAGCTTGGCTTGCAGGAGTCTTAGATCCTCAGCTTGCCCGGCAACTCAGTCTTGGAAGTTCAGAGGTAGGCAAGAGTAAAGTTTTTGTGATTATGCAAAGTTGTAGTCCCACCTCATGTACGTTGGGTGTTGATCGACAACGAGCAGTATTCCCCCACTCGTACAATCGTATTGACTTTCGGTTTCGTTGATGGGTTTCCTTGCAGGAGACGGAAGCGACCAGCTGACATTTCTCGATAAACCTGCGACGACTGCTGCTTCCAATGCCACCCACTGACGAAGCCTACTATCACCACAGTGAGTCAAAGCGGGTGTCGGGAAGAAGGGCTCGGGAAGGCCTGAGGGCTATAGCATAGATTTCCGAGAAGTAAAGCTCGCTTAAAGTGCCTCAGTATGACTACACGTCATCACGGTGCACTGCATTTGCCTCATCTATTCAGTGGACTTCGCGAGCTCCGAACCCTCAACATAGACACTTTAGCAGAACTTTAGCAATAGCAGCTTTGCTGTCAAGCTGGGCATCGCCCTGTTAGGCCAGCCTTGCCGCCTCCTAAGAATAGTGGAGACATTCGGAAGCCATGCGCACAGCCAGCCTTTGCGTTTTTGTCTGCACTGAGGATGAATCCTCAACGGTATGTTGAGGGTTGAGCACGGAGCCGTACACTCGTCCGCTGCACGATGGGTGCCCTCTGCATCTGGCAACTGGTGCAGTACCCCGTCCTCCCTGTCTACATCCAGGCAAATCATGCATCCGATCTCCATCATGCGCAGGGTTGCATCACGCAGCGCCTTAACCCCTTCGCAAGAAAGGAAACTCCAATCAGGACATGCATATTTGCTTTCCGCACGCTTGGTGCACCTTGAATCAATCCATGTCCAGGCCCAGGCTGTGCCCACGAACTACGGGATTGCAGACGGCCAAGTCTCACCAAAATCCTTCATAACCCAGCAAAAAGGTCTGTTCAGGGGGTGCCCATTGTTTCGGTCTCTTGTCGTGATCACCAGAGTTTGCAGCATCGAAAGCCGCAGTTCCAACCCCCCAAAGCGTAAACCCCAGAACCCTAAACCTCTTCAAGCCCAAAACCCTGAAGCTAAGCCTTCGAGTACGAGCTGAGCTTTCTGGAGTTAAAACCGGGTGTCTGCCAAGAGCTCGGCGACGGACTCCTGCAGACGTACGGTCGTTGTATGGGCTCGGTAAGCGCTTATGGTTAAGGCTCCAGGATGGTGTAGGTAGCTTCGTAGAGGTTACTCTAAACTTTCTATACCTAAAACGGTCTCTGATTTCTGGGTGCAGGCCTTGGGGATCAACGGTCTTGGTTTCCGAACGACTTTGCGAGGTGCTTAGTCGCGTCCTTCTCGTTCAACAGAATTCGATATAGGTTCGATAGGGTTGACATATATGGGTGTGTACAAGGTTCTTTCATAGATTGCAACAGGGAAAAAGGAAATCGCGGAGTGAAGGGTCGCTTGTGGGTGATGCAGCTTCGTCAATCACGCATGGGGCTTCAAGGTGTGGTGTTCTGGATCACGTGCCGTTTGTGTTGAATGGAGAAAGCCCGCAGATCATCGCGACGAACGCTTTGGTCGACGCATAAGCAAAATGATCGCTAGCACAAGTCATAGTGACAAATATGCAAAGAACTTGGGAATGCGGCATCGTGCCAATCATAACGACTGAAAGCCACAACAAAAAAACCAGAAGAACAAAACTTGACCTTGGCAGGCCTAACTTGCCTCTGAAACCCTACTTGCGGGTTGCAAGAGTCTCCTGAACGACGCCGTTTCTGCGGCGTGGCGTCCCAGCTGCAGATTCCGAGGAGCCCTCCGGAGTTGCTCGGAGGATGCCCAAAAGCCCGGGTTCATGGACTTAGGACTTAGGGCTTGGGATCGTTTGGGGTTGAGAACTTCAAGTTGCTTGCACCATCCTCGTTAGGACTGGCTACTACAACAAGAGTGGTGACAGGAACACTCCCTTTTGTCATACACCCAATCTTTCGGCTATGATGGAAAAGCTGTTTTTGCAACCTGCGAAGCGGCTTCCATGCACGCTTTCTCAAGCAGGTGAAACCGCAAGTTCAGGCTGGGAGTGATGGTGAGGCAACTCCATGCCATCATCATCCTTCTTGTTCCTTCTTACTAGTGTTGACACGTCGCTCTCTTCCTTCCGCTCTTGGCAGACTCGATGCTGCCTACCAGCATACCATTCTTGCTCCTACTTTTGCTTCGGGGGCCCTCAGTCGACATCCAGCGAGTGCATCCTGAAGCGAATCCTCCGTCGCCCGACAGTCTCGGCAGCCTCTCAACCCTCCCTCGAAAAATACTTAGAGTTTGTCGTACGCTTTCGGCTGAATCTGTCGAAAGAAGCTGCAAGAACACTGAAGGGGAATGCTCCTGAAGGCCAACATAGTGTGTGTAGGCATGCTGCAAGTCGACGTAGAGTATTCATGCTGTGATGGTACGGAAGGTGTACACCAAGTTGAAGAGCTCAGCTGTGCAGCTGAGTAGCTGCTAAGGGCAAAAGCGGCGGATCAGACTGCGGGGCAGCAGTCATCCCGATCAAACTTCCTCCAGAAGAATGATAAGCTTCTACAGCGGGATCTGCCACTTGAACCAAGTCACGTGCAGTCTTGTCCGGATCAGGTGTGGTTGAAGGGCCAACGGCTTGAGCGTGACATGAGCAAGACTTCATTGAGAGACAAGTTATCGGTGCAAAGTCTCTGCAGTGTTAAAGGTTAATGCGTATGCCAAGGTGACTTTACCTGACTACTCTGCGTCCAGAAGCCGTGTCAACCTTTTCGTTGGCTCCGCGCGTCATTGCGACAGCCAGTGATCAAGGGCAATCGGCTGTACGTAATTAGAGTGTGTAGGTGAAGGCACGTGCAAACAGCCACTGGAACCCAAACCCTGTGGGAGAGTTTAGGTCGCAATCCTGACTTGCGAAGCGGATTGGCTGAGCGGTTGACTTGAGGGTATGGGGAGACTTTGAAGCGTCTGCAGATGCTTCTAGCACATTACACACAAGTGGCCTGAGCGAAAGCACCCAGAATGCGTCACATCTAATCGACGGATTGTACCGACGTCATCTTTGCTTTGCGCAAAGTTCAATCAGGATGTCGAAAAAAAGGCTATCGCAAATACTTGAACAGCCCCTGACTCTGATTCGACTTCGACAAGAGGTCGTTTTGGCCGTGCCTTCCCCTTTTCAGTTGCGGATACCCGAAGGCACCCAGGATCTATAACATAGAGGCCTAAATAAAGAATTCGACCATGGATGTTGAAAAATCCCAAGGACAAATGATACGTTCAAACGTTCAGGCCCCCATATTGCTTCCGAGTGCCACTGTGCTCTGCCAACGCGAATTCTGCCTTATTTTCTATTCTGATCTACCTCGTTCCTCTCTTGGGGTGTAGTGCTTCAGGAGGCTGAGAAAAGACTTCTCAAGTTTGGTAGGCGGTGGGAATAAGGCTGAAGGCTCATCTTTCAGGATGTAGTGTTCAGGTTCCTAACACCTTAAGCCTGACCGCCCACACCTGAAACCCGACACCCACAACCAATAAAATCACCCCACAACCGTAAACCACTAACTCCAAACCTCAAAGAGGATTGGCAGTCCCTTTGCTTTAGCACTCGGACAACATCTCAGACAGCAGAAGAAACGCTCCAGGTGGGAGTGTCTCGGCATCTCCGACCACACCCGAGATCTAACACCTGCGGGTTTGGGGCTTCTGGGCCTGGTGAAATGGCGGCTTAGTACCTAGAACTTTACCCGGAAACAAAGAAAGAGAAGCCCACAACTGGAAGCCCTGCCAGCTCTAACAGGGTGAAGCAAAATCCCAGCCGTCAGCCTGTCTTTGAAACGGGAGCTTGGCTCGATGGCAGGAGTGTCGTGTCGCATCGGGACATCTCAAGGCTCTGTGAACCTTGACTCTATGGTTCTTGAAGCCAAAGCCTGATTCAATTGAACCCAGTTCCGGGATGGAATGTAGCAACCCTGGAAGGTGTCGGAAACCTGTTGCCCGTTTGGGAAAGGCTTTAGGATGTATGGTAGCTGCTTTATGAAAGACACGGTCCAGTTGAATTAGAGCTTGGTGTTGTCCTAATCTCTAGACAAAAAACCTTGAACGCTGTATCTTCCATTTTCAGGTGTCTGAGGAGCACCATTTCTGCTCTCGGCTGTTTGTGCATGGGGCTGCGATCTTGTGCGCACTTCCCGGCAAGCCAAATTCAAACGCTTTACAGACTGTCAGGGAGGTCTTGTGCGCGATGCCCAGTGATGTGTGTGTGTGTGTGTGTCCGAAACTTGACAACTTCGACCCGGAGCTCAAAACCAGAAGCGTAACACCAAACCTCAAGTTGGACGTCCTCACTACACAGGTCCCAAATACCTCAAACAACGGTGCTCTTGGTCAGAACTCCTAACGACCAATCCAACACGGGTTCCTTTACTCTACGTGCCTAGTCACAAGCTCACCCCTGGATTGGAAAATCTTGCAAGGCCGAAACCTAAAACACGGAAAGCAAATCTGAAGACCAAAACGCTGCACGTGTGAAGGCATCCGTGCATCTGGGGATGGTGAATATCTGCACAGAGGCAAAGCTGCTCTGGACTCTGACCGCTTGTATAACAAGACGGTCTTGAGGAGCCCGAGGCGAAGGCATTTGCAAGCCGGGATTCTTGCTTGTTCTTCTCTGGAATGTCATGCAGACAGCTAGGGGTACTTTCTCTAGGGGTTGCTTACAATGCGGACCACGTGTTTTCCCAAACATATCATGTCATGTTGCAGTGAAGGGCCTGGAAGCAGCCCTACCTTCAACCAGTGCCAGTGGCTCCAAAGCATCTTCCCAAGCGTTCAGCCGGTAAGAGTGTTTTTTTTTGCTGTCGTGGCTTTTTTGCTGTCGTGGCGGGGCGCGTTTTTTTTTTGCTGTCGTGGCGGGGGCGCGTTTTTTTTTTTTTTTTTTTTTGCTGTCGTTGCGGGGCGCGTTTTTTTTTTTTTTTGCTGTTGTTCTGTGGGGTGTTTTTTTTACTGTCGTCCCCGCGGGGCGCGTTTTTTTTTTGCTGTCGTCCCTGCGGGGCGCGTTTTTTTTTTGCTGTCGTCCCTGCGGGGCGCGTTTTTTTTTGCTGTCGTCCCTGCGGGCCGTTTTTTTTTTTGGCTCTGTCCCTGCGGGCGCGTTGTTTTTTTGGCTGTCGTGCCTGCGGGGCGCGGTTTTTTTTCGCTGTCGTTGCGCTCCCCGGGCGCTTGTTTATTATCATCATGGTTATTACTACTACTATACTATTACTATACTACTACTACCACTACAACAACAACAACTACTACTACGACGACGACGACTACTACTACTACTAGCACTACTACTACTACTACTACTACTACTACTACTACTACTACTACTACTACGACTACTACGACTACTACTACTACTACTACTGCTGCTACTACTGCTGCGACTAACTACTACTACTACTACTACTACTACTACTACTACTACTACTTGCTTGGCTCCTGCATGGCGCGTCGACTGACTGCATAGCAGGTGACAGTTGAGTATCGAAAGGTTGAACCTTACAGCGATGCGAAGCAAAACTACTGCTTTTGTTTCGCCGTTGTGTTGTTGCGCGTGCCGGGGTTTCTTGCTTCGCACGTACTACACACCCCTCAAACGCATGTCTTCCGTAATAGTGATGACGGAATACTACAGACAAGCATTCGGTCGGAAACATGTCTGTATGACAGAATCAAGGCATGTTCCACCCATATATTCCTTCTAGGAAAGATACGTCTTCTCAGCTCACCTCCACATCGCCCTACCTATACTACACTACTCCTGCTGCTACTACTACTACTACTACTACTATGTACGGGTGGAGTTTTATTTCGGTCCGTTTTTGTTGTTTTTGTTTCTTTTTGTTCTTATTTGGGCCCCCACGTCCTATTATTTACACAGGATGCCGGCTGAATGTGTCGCCCCATGTGGTGCCGTGCACAATTTTGGCTGATTTGATTTCGATGTCTGAATGGTGCTTTGTTTCGAAAAGACTCATCTCAGGCATCGCGGGTTTCAAGAACGACTCCTATATAGGCTGTCATGCAACCTTGCACGCGGCTTAAAACCCTCCCCCATTCGCAATCACGATGCTCGCATGGCTGGTTTACAACAAAATCATATGGGCGGCGGGGCGGGGGGGAGCCGGGGTTAAAGGGGGGCAGCCAGTCAGGATGCTCGCATGCTTGGTTTTAAACAAAACGGATATATGCTGTCATGCAAGCTTGGCACTCTCGCACATGCGGGACAGGCTTCCCATTTGCAAACACATATTTCGCAAGGTGAATGGCGTTGTTTCAAAAACGCACATATTATGCAGGGTGTGTTTCAGCAACGACCCCTATGCTGTCACGCAAGCTTGCAGACGGCTTGAAACCGCGGTGGGGTTGGGGGAGGCAGCCCGCCCCCCCCGCCCACATTTGCAATTATGATGGTCGCGTGGTCGGTTAAAGCAAAAAAAGAAACAGTGCTGTCAAGCAAGTGCGCACTCTCGCATGTCCGGCGCAGGTGCCCAATTGCAAGCACCCTTGTCACAAGGTGAATGGTGTTTTGTCTCTAAACGACTCATCTCAGGCATCGCGGGTTTCAAGAACGACTCCCAGGCTGTCATGCAACCTTGCGCAAGGCTTAAAACAGCGGGGGGTTGGGGGGGGGCAGCCCCCCCCATTTTCAATCACGATGGCTGGTTTAAACAGCGGGGGCGTTGGAGGGGGGCGCAGCCCCCCACATTTGCGATTCTATGATGGTCGCGTGGTCGGCTGAAACCAACAACGCATATGTGCTGTCAACCAAGTGCCACTCTCGCATGCCCGGCGCAGGCTCCCCGATTGCAAACACCCTTGTCACAAGGTAAAAAATGGTATTGGATTAAAAGGCACATCTCAGGGATCGCGGGTTTCAAGAACGACTTCTACGCCGTCATGTAACCTTGCACACGGCTGAAAACAGCGGGGGGGTTGGGGGGGGCGCAGCCCCCCCCATTCGCAATCACGA